ATGGGGATTAGATGAATTTTGGAAATCATTTATTACCGGATCGTTAGATTATAAGCATCATTTGTTTCTCGATAATCTTAATGACCAAATTGGTAACCATAAATTAGCAGAAATATTTGATAATTATTGTAAGGTATTTCTCGAAGGCGCATGGAAATTAAGATCTGAAATATATAAATCCATGGCCACATTACCACCCGTTATAAATATCTTATCTTTGTTATAAATAAATATGTTAGTTAGTTGTCTGTTAGTTCTAGCTCCATATTAACTTGCAATTCATACAGCAACTCTCTAAATAATACGGTCCTGTAAGACTACCGGTACCATACCACATAGACCTACATGCCATGTTGATAAATTTTACTTTGTATATACATTTTAGCTTAATTTACTCCTAGTTTAAGTTTATTATTTTTCTCTTATATTTGGATGCACCGTTGGGTATTGTCCAACGTGTGCCACTGTTACGAAAGTGATATCCATTAAATTGATTGATTGATTGATTGAGGGCCTACTGTGTGGAGTCACAGTGGAGCTAAGCAATAATTAGCCCTTCTTAGCAGATTAACTAGATAAACAGTTTGGCTTTGACTGAATCAGTTTGTTTGTTAAGTGTAGGTTTTTATGTTGATTTATTAATTAAATTTCTGCTACAGGGTATTTTACAGCATTTATTTATTTATTATTAATTTTTTTTTCTTGAATTTTATAATTGAGGGCCACTTTTTATTTCTTGATTCAATTCTTGCTTATACAGTATTTAAATATTTGAAGATTAAAAAAAAGTATATCATTTCAATACCAAATTTTACATTGGGGCCATTTTTACCTACCTGTCATAAGGGGCCATTTTTACCGGGGCCATTTTTTCCGGGGCCATTCTTACCTACATTCGTTAACGTATGTGTACAAAGAATGATCTTTTGATAAGATATACATATCAGAGTGTCGGGAAATGGAATTTGACTGGTTGTTCGTACGTGAAATTAATACTATTGTGGGCTTTGTTAAAATCGGATATAAAACGTTTATGAAAATCTTCTCCATGAGGCCAGATCAAAAAACATCATCGATATATCGAGCAAAAAATAGTTGTTTCAGTTCTGAAGCTGAAATGAACTCATTCTCGATCCTGACCATGAACACGTTAGCATATGATGGTGCCATTTTAGTGTCCATAGCAGTAGGCCTACCTTTTAAGTTGGCGAATGTATTTGTTGTTAAATTGAAAATGATTGTGTGTATAAAATTGATGATAGATACGATGTCGTCTGTGTAAAGCTACCGGTACGTTCTGATCACATTAAGCCTGAATTCCGGTCCGAAGTCCGGAGAGAAAAAATCGTGAAAATGTATTTGTTGTGAAATTGAAAATGATTGTGTGTATAAAATTGATGATAGATACGATGTCGTCTGTGTAAAGCTACGTTCTGATCACATTAAGCCTGAATTCCGGTCCGAAGTCCGGAGAGAAAAAATCGTGAAACATCAAATTCGTACGATTTCCAATCCGGACTCCGGATCCGGACCGATCTGAGAACCATTTGAATCCTGAATGCCACAGTAAAGATCAAAGGACTGTAGGCACGTGCTATGTTCGAGAGCGGAGATGTGCGTTCTTCTGTTGAATTACCTTGTGTGATTTAGCTTAAGGCTGAGGATTAAATTTCTCAAGGAAGTGTCTAACGGCAACGAGTCCTTCGACATGGGAAAAAGTATTGACCAATAAGAACAAGGCCAGGAATATGCGCGTGTCAAAAAGCACTCTGTCGTTGTGTCGGACCTTTTAGCAAAGATAATAAATGGCAGAAGATAGAGCAGCTTCCCAATATAGTGGAACATCCGTTCGAAAGCATTGTGGGTACACGGAGGGCAATTCACCCCGTCCGCGCGGCGGCGCTATATAAATAAAGGCGCCGCTCTGGTTTGTTTGTTTCCAGTATTTTCTACACTTAGTAAAACGTTCAAATTTTACCCCATTCGTGGGAGGGCGGATGTTCCATCAATTTTAATGCAAATTCGCGGAACAGCTCATTCTTCTGCAATAGGTTATTTGCTTTTAGGAACAGTATCTAAGGAGCAAGATGCCTTTCGAAACAACAATGGTGCACAAGCTGCAGCGACAGTGGCGGATCTAGAGGAGGTGTGTAGGGTGGTTAGCCACCCTCCTCGGTAACTGTAAAAAATGGTCACTTGCCTTGTGTGTGTGCTTCTCAAGTATACTCTCGTAAAACATATCCTTTCTATTTTATGCCTAACTTCTTTTCAGATGTCATCCAAGAGCACCTAGACGTCTAATAATTCCAAAAAAAAAAAAAAAAAAAAGCGTACTCAAAAATCTTTAGCGGAGGGGGATGTGTCCGCAAATATGTGTGAGGGGTTGGCTCCCTCACTTTTCGTCGCAAAATCAACCGGTATTCTATCTTTGCCCACAAACATCTGAATTACTACTACTACTAATACTAATAATAATAATATTAATATTAGTTTTCGGCACAATAAAAATACATTAAAACTCAATAGA